AAAACAAAACACAATGACACAGAACCTAGACGCCTTCTTAAACTGTTTGGGTTCCAGCATAATTCCACATTTTATGAGATGTGTGACGTTGACTGAGTTATGTGGCATCTCTCTGTGCCTTTGTTTTCTCATCTGAAAATTGTGGATAATAATAGAACCTCCCAACATATAGCGGTGTCTTGGGGATTAAATAGTAGGATTTTCAGAAGTGGTTTTGAGGCATGCCTGGCACATAGCAAGCACTTAATAGATGCTATAGTTCTTGAATACTTTGTACTCTGTTGACTAATTACTCCTAGTTACCAGAACAAAACCTTGGCTTTCTTTTGGGCTACCAGTCATCATGTTTTCCATTTTAGTAACCTGGAGGGATATTACCCACATTTCCATCCCACTTCTAGTGGTCCCGTAGTCTCACCAGTAAGCTCGGCCAATATGTTGGGATGTAGTTCATGTTGAACATGAGATGTAAACTCATTTAAGGAGAAATCACTATGCCCCTTGGTGTACTATGTCTGTCTTGTTTAGGACCGTTCCCTAGAGTCTGGCACAGTGGCTGACACACAGCAAGCATCTCAGAATGGATGAATGAATATCTCTAACGCCTGTGCTCACAGAAGACACCCTGAGTGCGACTTTCCTTTTCTGCATGTTGAGGTTATAATATTTAACCTACAGATAGTTGACAAAACAATGACATGCAGTAATTACCTAGTATAGTAATTGTCATATAGTGAATATTCAGTTAATGTGAATTACCTTTCCATCACCCTTCTAATTCTCTCAGCCCAGTTGCTCTCCAAATAACTCATACAACATCACGTATCTTCCATGGGTTCATATGTTACACTTCTCCAAATAGTTTACCAGAGGAAAACAACATCAACCAGAAGATAACAGCAAAAATATTTTGCAACGGAATATATTTAAAACTTGCTTAAGTTTTCTTGCATGAGTATCTTAAAGGATTTATAATGATTTTCTTTTAGAATATAGCTAATGCGTTTCCTGTTTATTACTATGTTTTTATTAGCATATCCACTTTTTTGGTTTTGTTTTTACTTTTCAATACATTTTAAAATTCCTGTTTGATTTGAGGAATTTTAGAGATACTGTGGGAAATTCAGTTCTTTGTTTATTAGTATTGTGTTTACTGCTTTTTAGTCCTTTGATCTCTCATTTCTGTTTACCCATAAGGGCAGCTTGAGATGATGTAAAAAGGAGGTGACAGGGATAAGAGGCATAGTACAAATGGATTTATACACTACAACATCTCAACCTGTCAGAAATCTGACATGCTGCATCTAAAACTGTCACACCTAACCAAATTATGTATATCTCTAGCTGTTAATTCTTGATGATTAAGCATATAATCTGCCTTTGTTTTAATGGATAAAACTTTGATTTGTCACTTTCCTAGTGGACTTCATGGGATCTTTTAATTTCCTATCATATGAATTCTTCCCTGTTCGTTTATGTCCGCTTCAGTGATTCTATAATTATTTTTGTTTTACATAGATAGAAACATGTTTTCCCCCCTTTTTTACATATGGTGTTTTGCTTCATGAAGAGAGAACTACACAGATGACATTTTTTAAAATCCAAATTCTATTCAGTTTTACATTCTTATGTTTATAACCCTGAATATCTCCAAAATACCCTTACCTAAAATACTTCATAGTTTCATTACTAGATTTATACCAGTAAAGATGCATCAGCTTTCTTAGGGATAATCTTTAAGCAGAAGTTAGTAAGACAAGCTTTGAAAACTATCATCCCTGGGAAAGTAAATCTCAAATCACGAAACATCAGCTTAATCTCTCCCCTTGGCAACTTAACATGACAGATTGAAATATAAAAGCCGACGCAAGTGGGATCAATGGATTATCTAAGTCCCCAAACATCTTCTCTTAAATTGGGGGACTTGACAGAGTGGATGTGAGAGGGGTGTGTATTGTGTGTTTCTCATCATGTGCAGAGCATTAAGTTTTCAGAGCTTAGTGATGAGTGGATGTGGTTTACCTGGATGTGAAGCAGGGAGAAAGAAATTGGGAGGGAATGAAGGAGAAAAAAAGGGGGCTACAGGAAGAGAGATTTACATGTGAGAACTCAGGGATCTTTGTCATGGCAATTGTGTAAAGTGATATACAGTGCAAATCAACTTGAGCATGTCCCCGGATAGCAGGCGGTTTACAGCTTCCATGAACTGAGATTACTGCTTTATCTTGTCATACTAAATTAACATGGCAGCACATTGTTAAACACTGGTGACCTCTTCATCTGGGGAAATTGCTGCCTAGAAGAGAGATGGTATTTAAGTCTCCCTCTCTCTCCCTCTCCCTCTCCCTCCCTCTCCCTCTCTCTTCTCTTCCTTTTACCCTTAAAGCATTTGGGGTTAAACTGTAGCCATTTTTAAATTATTATAGAAAATGTATTTTATATTAAGGTGACAACAGATAGGGTACAATTACATAAAATGGACAGATAGAATTGGGGGAAAATAATAAGATTTTACTTATGCAATGTTCTGAAAATGGCATGTGATCTTCTGTAATACATTGGAATTAAGAATATATTTGCTGTCATTTTAACTCCTTGTTATTCACAAATAGCCTACTAATTTGTGCAAGAGTTAATCCCTGCTTTCTGTGAGAATCGATTGGTGGTTAAAAAAACAAAATAGGAGAAATAAGATTCAGACGCTGGTTTTTCCACTAGTCAGGTAGAGGGGATAGCTAAAGAGAACTAGCCCACGGTATTATGCTTTAATAGAAGTACCCAAGTTATCTCTTATTCCAGCGTTTATCAGGTCCTGCTTCACTCCTCAGATTCTGTTTTCATTTCTTTATTAAAAGGGGAGAGAGAAAGAGGGTCGTAAACTAATTTGTTTCATCTGTGTGCCAGACAGCCACTGTTCCCTTCCTGTGATTTCTAAGTTCTGCTTTATTTAAACATATAGGAAATAAACTAACTTTTTTTCTATCTTAAAATGTTGATAAATCAATCAAAATCCACTGTATATATTTCAGTGCTCAGTATGTGCCACTGGAATTTGAATCAAAGGAAGAGGCAAAGTAAAGCTTCAAAATTCCATAATATGAGTGTCTATTTCCCTGTGTCCCCTGGCAGAGCTGATGCTCTGTCCCTAAAGCGTAACCCCTGAACTGCTTCCTCACTAACCTCTAGAGCGAGAGTTTTCACCTGGGTGTTAAATCACTTTAAAGGTTGTAGAATGAGCTATACAGAATCTGTGTCCTCCCTGAAACTATGTGATATATTCACTCACAGATCTTTCTAGAGAGAGTATCCATAGCTTCCTTATATTCTCTGGGGGGCCTGAGCCACCAAAATAGATTGTTACTTCTTTAGTACATAAGTCAGTCTTAGAGTATTACTGTAGTACATCTGAATACTGGGGAGACCATACACACACACACACATACATGTATATATGTACATATATATACATGCATATATGTATATATATGTACATGTATATATATGTACATATATATATAATCTTTAAGCAGAACTTAACAAGACAAGCTTTGAAAACTATCATTCCTGGGAAAGTAAATTTCGAATCATGAAATAGCAGTTTAATCCCTTCCCTTGATATATATATACATATATATATATATATATATATATATATACACACACACACACACACACACACACACACACACACACACACGAGGTGTAATCAAACAATATGTGAATGTTTAAAAAAAAATATTGTAGTAAAAGACACATTGCCATTAAGCCCCCTTAGTGTACTCGCCCTCGCTACGAACACACTTATGCCATCATCCTTGTCGCTTTCTGAAGCAGTCCTGGAAGTCCTCTTTCTTGAGCGTCTTTAGTCGCACTGTTGTGGCTGCTTTGATGTCCTGAATCTATTCAAAACGTGTACCTTTCATGGTCATTTTGACTTTGTGGAAGAGGCAGAAGTCACACGGTACCAGATCTGGTCACTAAGATGGATGAGGACACACCATAATGTTTTTATTTGACAGAAATTGCTGTACCAGAAGCGATGTGTTACACAGAGTCCTTCCATTGCTGTCACAAAATACAGTGAATGCTGCTGCCAAGTGCCATCCAACTGAAAGGCAGGGATCTTCAATACAGGAAGCAGTGCATCAAACCTTAGTAACAATGTGTGACAAGTTTCCACTTGTTCGGTGCAGTCAGTCGGGTGTGAGCTACGGTTGAGAGAAAGTGTGTTTTAAAGTGTGCCATAAATCATGGATCATGAACAACGCATTAAGATGAAATGGGCAAATGGTTTCATCCTCCATCATGATAACACTCTGTCACACATTGCTTTTGGTACAGCATTTCCTGTCAAATAAAACATGACGGTGTGTACTCATCCACCTTATTCACTGGATCTAGCACTATGTGACTTCTGGCTCTTCCCCAAAGTTAAAAGGATCTTGAAATGTAAATGCTTTGAATCGATTCAGGGTATCAACATCTACAACAGCACAACTAAAGATGCTCATGAAAGAGGACTTCCAGAGCTGCTTCAGAAAGTGGTAAGAATGATGGGATAAGTGTGTTCGAAGCGAGGGGGAAATATTTTGAGGGGGGTTAATGGTAATGTGTCTTTTACTGTAATAATTTTTTTTATTTAAACATTCACCGTATTTTTTTATCACACCTTGTATCAATTAAGATACTGACTTATAGACACAGTTATGGCTTCACTTCTTTTTTAATCAGGAAGTGTATTCACCAAGCCTGCCTTGGAGAGTTTTCGTAGGGCTTCCATGCTGGAATTAGTCCAATAGTCTACTTATTACTCCTGACCACTTAAAACTCTTCTTCTTAGCACCCTTTCCTGGGTTCAATTTTGGAGCAAAGTGGCTCAAGAGCCTGGCTATATTCTAGTATAAGGATGAGATTCAGTTCTCCAGTATTCTGGATTCAACATGCAGACCCTAGAAACACAAAAAAGACCATTTAGCTTGTGAGGGATGTGGAACAGGGGTACTTTTTTTTTTCTTGGTAAGTTGCTTTCTTCTGCCTACTGTTCCCTCTCCCCTCTTTCTCCAAGTCAGCATGTTGTCAGAACTATGAAAAAGAAAAAGCTTATTAATTTAGTAGTGGTTTGATTAGTTAAAGTCCTCCTGGATGCCCTGGTATAATACTGTTTGACTAACACAGGATTTTTAATGTCAAAGCAATTTGCCTATGTTCAATATTGTTATAAACATAGTGTTTTTCTTCAAAGGAAAGAAGAGAAAATGGCCAAAATTTTCACCAAGTTGCTTTTGTATGCTATATATTAACATTATTTGGAAGGGGAGCTAATGTTAAAGTGACTATTGGACTCAGTCTTTTTCTCTTTCTCCTCTCATAGAAAATTTCTTCTTCCCTAGTATTTTTCATCAGATTAGATGCATTAGCAAGTCTTTAAGTTAAAATAGAAAATCACTGAATAGTCACAGTCTCTTATGTTTAACTATTTCTAGCCTTGAGAAATAATTCTTTTAGTTTAAGTTAAGGACTTAGAGGAAAGTTTACATGGTGTTATTAAAAATATTAAGCTTTTCTTTATCCCTCACCATTCCATTTTATTTATTTAATAAGTACATTTAATGAGTACTTTATATACTGATATATTAAAACTTTGAAGGATTTCTTTCAGACAAATTGTGAATTTGATATAGGAAGTCACAGAAGACAGATGGAAATTAATTTCTTATGCAACAGTCACATATACAAAAAAGATAATTAAGAAAAAGAAGGAAAAAATAAAAAGAGAAAGCCTGTAAAGAAAGAAATAAAAACAGCTGGCATTTATCATACCAAATACAAATGGGCAAACTTTACTTTTGAAAGAATATTCTAAATTTGTTTATATCCAGTTTTGTATTCCTCAAAAAGTCAGACACATAACAAAATAACATAGATATGTTAAAAATAAAAGGAATGGTAAAAATATAGTAGACATCCATTAGACAGAGAAGTCAGAGGTAGAATTATTATTATCAGACCAAGTTGAATCAAATGTCAGGGATAGAGTCCTTTTATGTTGGTTATATAGAGATAAAATGACATGAATATTTATACATTAAGTGAATTATGTAAAGGAAAACATTAATATATTAATATTAACTTATAGAAGGGGAAATATTAGAAATAGGAGCTATTGACAGAAACAGAAATATACTGAGAGAGATAGGGAAGTATCCTTTTCTCTTCCACAGATGAATTGGACTGAAAACAAATAAATACATAAAGGAATTAATGAATATAGTTAATGAAGTTGGTTTAATGTCTATCTACGTATAAATAATTTGAACAATTTTAGGGATGTACACTACTAAATAATTCTTGTGTTAAAATAAAAATCAAAACTACAAGCTGATTAAAAAAATCATAAAATGACTATTACATATTAAAACTTGTGTGAAATGACAAAAGTTATAATATTGGAAAATTTATAAATTTAAGTACCTTCATTATTAAATAAAATGAATGGGGAGGAAAGAACAAAGCATTTACCTTTGGAGGCAGAAAACCTTTATTATAAAAGATCCCCAATGAAAGCATAAAACGGAACCTGAAGAATATAAGAAAATAAATAAATGAACTGGGAGGAAATTAGGCAGAACTTTCCCTAGATTAATAAATGAATAAGAGCAAATACAAATACATAAATGTAGAACAAATAAAATAACATTATTATAGTTATGGAGATACTATAAATTATTATAATATATTCTAGCATTTTCCAAATTGTGTTCTAAAGAATACATATAACATACAATGTCTAAGACAAAGGTTCTAGAGTGTAATCAATTAGGAAAGCATTTCATAATGTAGCCCGCTTTTTTATTTTTACCGTTCACATGATATGTTAAAGGTTCTAAGTCAGTCCCTTTGTTCAGAGAAGTAATTAGCTTTATGATGCACAGGTAATTAATCAATCATAGAACCCTTCTTTAGTATATAGCCTCTTGAATCAAACACTGGAAAATAATATACCATTGAACACATATGGAGAATGTGGCTGGCTGTATAAGATTATTTATTGATACACTGAGAATCTTGTTGAAATGTATAATTTCATAGGACTACACAGAAAGTAGGAAACCTAAGCAGACTATCCATAAATGAAACCTGTAACCAGCCCAAGTATTTTCAACTTCTAAAGAATTGAAAACTCCCAAGCTATATAAAACCTGTTTGCTAGAGAAAACAAAACAAAACAAAACAAAACAAAAACTTTTTAAATTAGCATAACTACAATATCAAACCACCCCCCAAAAGAAAATAAATCCAATCTCACCTTAACTATAGATACAGAAATTCTAATTAAAATATTAGAGAAAGTTTTTTTCCTAGACTTTTTTACTAGACCTAAAAAGAGTTATTTTGGGGAATGCAAGGAGAGTTTGATAAAAAGAAATATGTATTATCATAATTTGTATTATGAGTCAACAAACTACTACTCACTGGTTTGCTGGTGAAATCTGGCCCACAGCCTGTATCTGTAAACAAATTAAAAAAAAAGTGTTATTAAAGAGAGCCACACCCATTAATTTACTACCTCTATGGCTGCTTTTGTGTGACAATGGCAGAGTCGAGTAAATGCAGCAGAGGCCCTGTGGCACATAAAGCTGAAAATATTTACTATCTGACCTATTACAAAACAGCTTTGCCAAAACCTGGTCTATATCCTCACTGGCTCACAGAAAAATCTGGTATGAAAATGCTCAGAAAGGTGTTTGAGAAAATTCAACCAAGTCTTTGTAAATAATTAATAGAGTGGTACCGGTACAATCTCAACCTAACAACTTTTTCAAACTTAATGGTAAAATTCTCTAGTTCCTTTTAGATTTGGGGACAAGTCAAGCTTGCATTTTCTCCCTCCTCCCCTATCTTTCTCCCTCCCCTCCCTTCTCATTTCTCTCTTTTCTCTATTTCTTCCTTTTTTAATAATAAGAAGAGATACTGGAACTTTCAAGGAAAAATAGTGAAAAAATTTTCCAGAATAATAGAACTTAAACGCATGCTCTGAAGTCCTTAGTTATCCTACTGAAAACCTTTCAAGAGACAACTAAGTTTCTTAACCATACAGAACAAATGATTTCCTCTATACTCTTTGATTATTTTTAGAATAATTAATTTACAGTTTTTCTTGATAGTGTCTCTGTGTGATACTTTTTAAGTCAAAAGCTTCTAATTCATGATTATTGAACAGGAACTTCCTGCTTTGTTTTAAGATTCTCATTTCCAGGGACAGAGTAAAGCCCCCTCTTAATTATTTGTTACAGGTAAGCTACACATTTTCAACCTGAAATATGCCAAGAAAATCCACAATCCTGTGGACATAGCCTTGAGCTGGGACCATAAGGTAGAAAGCAGATTTATGGCTCACTGTTAAGCTCTTCACTGTACCTATAAAATGTCCATTCAAAGAGCATAAAGACTAAGGTTTTTCAAGCTATAAATGAGTATGCACTTATTAATTCCCATTGCATTTTCCCTCTTTGTTTTGGGCACGCAGTGGTTTGCGTTAGAAACCAGTATTGACACAGGACTTCATGGAGTTTGCTGTATGTACAAGCTGCCTTTTCAGCATTTTCTGATCATTTATAGGACTAATCATTTCCCTTAGGTTCAGATTTAAGTAGTCTCCCTGGGGAGTATATTGATACTCGGCAGAGTCCCTGGACTCACCTTTGCCTTTTAGCGCTCATCTTAGGACCTAGATATCTTGGGATCACGTCTTCACCCTACCTTCCTTTCTATAACTCTAGCTTTTGGTTAAATTCTCTTCTAAGTTGCTACTTGTAATATTTCAGATTTCTTTTCTATATGATAGGCCTTTACTGATAAAGCCTATCATGTCTTTACCTTCCCATTCACTTTCATTTTAGGGCAATTTGCAAAGACGTAGTTTTAGTGGGTCCCTCTCCAATGTCATAAGGATTTCTAAGAGCAACTAGGTTATAGTGTGCTCTAGTGTAATGTTGCCCTGAACTTGATTGTCCCAGTACTGCCAGGAGTCTGCAACCAGCAGTGACCACCCAAGGACGAAATCTGGCATTGAGATTGATTTATGCTATGTTGAAAACTTATTAAATATAAATAAATATTAAAATGCTGTTTTCACGGTTGTTCACTTAAGAAGTTAGATGAGGAAATACCATGTTGAATCTTGCTGGAAATGAGTTGTCTTTAGGTTTCTAGGCCAGGGAAAAATTATCCTCCTTTTTTTTCCTCTTCTTTCTAATATGGTTTGGCTTTATACATTTTCTTATGCTTATTTCTCATTCCGTGGTTTATTATACAGCAGAAAGTAGTTTTGGGGCTCACCATCTTTAAAGCATCTACTAGTCAACATTTTTATATTCAGAAAATTCACTCAAAAGAATTTCACAGTTATAATCATACTATTATTACCAAAAAGCCTTTAGTTTCATAGTAAAGTCCACCTGGTGAAAGTCTTTATGTAGTCAAATTATTGCAAAGTTTTTTATTTAGTAATAAGTTAAATATTGGTAGCACATTGACCAGGCACCCACATGTAGCTTTTCAAATTCGCTTCATGAATCTTTTAAACAAAATTCATCCAAATATGCTTTATACAGCTCTCCCACAATGGTAGTCATCCTTTACCAGTAGGTTCCTGTATATCCTTGTAGCAAAGAAAACAAAGCGATACAACCTAAACCAGAAATAATAGATTGCTTGATTAAAGAACAAATATTGTATGGAAATTACAGTATGCACAAAGAATTTACCATTGAGGCATGCATGAGAATGATTTCCTTGGCTGGCAGAAGTACAAACTGGTACTTTATAATAACGGTTTCTGAACATGTAAACAAGTGGCTTATTTTTGTTGTCAACAGTGACATTGCAGTTAATTCTCGGCATTGGAATCAAATGCTCAGAGATACTGATTTAATGAAAAACAAATATCAAGCTTGAGTTATAATAATAAAACAAAGCATTTTGCCTATTACCTAAAAATAAAGTAACTTTTAAAAATGATTCCTTTTCATTTGTTAAAGCAGTCTCATGTGAGGAAAGTAAGATATTAAACTAAACTTCGCTAATATTTTACAGATTTAGAGAGTTTGAGAGCAAAGGTCATTTTGATTGTCTGTGCATTTGGGGAAAACATTTAGTCCACTAGTTTAGCATTAATTGGTCACTGAATATGAAGAAAATCTATCAGGAGTATTTATCACCCCTTTGATTTCCAGGCCGCAGACGGCTAACATGGCTGGCTGGATTTGTGCCTCCTTTTCTTGAAGCTCTATACAGCCTTCAGAAATCTTTTGAAGTCAACCATCTACCCAGTTCTTCTAAAATCAGGAATATATTAATAGTTTAGTGATAGAACTCCTACACTGTATTGTAACTAGTTACTGAATAGTCTAAACAGTAATATGTTCATAAAAGTGGGTAGTAAGCATCTGTGACTTCATAGTCCAAGAAAATCATGGGACAAAAAACCTTGAAATGTAAGTTAATGAACCAGTTTTTATAGTTCTACTATTAGTCTGTATCCAGAACCAACACACAGTTTTGAATTGTTTTTTAATGTTTTGTCTCATACCAAACCGTAAGAGAGACTATATTTTCAGGTATTTTAAGGACAAATAATATAACTTCTGGAAAAAGAGAAGCAGTCTGGTTATATGTGTGTTTGTGCTTGTATTTTTTACTATTTATTAGGAAATCTCATAAAATAATTAGTAGGCAAGTTGAAGGTATGGAAGTAAGTAAATATAACACATACAAAAGATTCAGTGAGAATAAATGTAATATCATGCTTCTGTAAAATCAAGCTTCGCGAAGATTTTATACTGTCAAATAATCAGAAGACAGAAAAGAAAAGGAGAAAATATATTGTCATAGACAGAGCCATGAGGCACCGCCGACATAGTGCCAGGAGCCCACAACACTTTCAGGGGCCATTGAGAATGTGTTGATTTTTTTATAATCAGAAGGAACAAAGTGAACTTTTAGGTTGAATAAAATGTTTTAATATATAATATGTTTGTTTTTATACCAGTGGAGTCAGAATTTTTTTTAATTCTTTCTTTCTTTCATGTAGTTAGTTAGTTAGTTTGTTATTTTTATGCATGGAAGGGGTTTATGAAGGCAAAAATTCCTAGTCCCAGGAAAGTTATGAGGTGGCCCTGATGGTGGGTAAAACACCTAAAATGATTTTGAATATGTTTTCAAAGATGCCTTTTATATAGTGCTCCTACCACTTTCCTTCTTTCTCATCTCCAATCCTAATACCCACCTTTTTACATTCCATGTTTAATCATTCTGTGTCTGAAACAGAAATGTCATTCTTATTTCAAGGCACTTGAATCATAATCCTTTAGTAGCTGGAATTGTGATATTGACCAGCTGATCCCAATATTGATCTACTGTGTAGTCCAAAACAAAGTTCAAGTTATTTTTCGGTTTACACTCATGTTAATTAATTTGCATATTGCATAAAATGTAGTAGTTATACCAAAAGAGATTTCAGTAACTCTGTGTAACACAATTAACAATAAGACAAGTAAAACAGATTTAATAAGAAAATAAAACAAAAATGTTAATTTAGGACTATTTGTCTTTCCGTATCCTTGTATTTCTTCTTTACCTGTTGGATATTTTATTCAGACATAATGAAACAATTAAAAGCTAATATCAACATGAAAACTTTTGATTATTTGTAATCAAGATGATTTTAATTTAATCTATGAGCTATACATAGTCATTTAGTTTCTTTAAATATTTCTCTCAAACATATTGTTTATTATTTTTGAGGAAAATTCATGCCTTCACATTTATTTTATAATTTAAAATAAGACCCAGTAGTCCCTTCATCTAATTTTGAATAGTTAAGTATTTTTGTTACATTCAAATAGCTATCAGATTTCCATGGTGGATAAGGGGATTTTTATATGATCCCTGTAATTATGAAGAGATTTCCTTAGTGAGTGAAGTGCCTCATTTATGCACGTCTACTGAAATAAAACAAAAACCAAAACAAAACAAAACAAAAAAAAACCCTGCATCTTAGTAAATCTTACATAAGTAGCAATAGTGAAAAAATTGAAAGAGCAGTACAACCAGAAACCATAGCTAAGAAATATGAACACAGCAAAACCACTGGGAATGGCACAAATCCAATTTAGAATAAAATTTAACACCAACTCCAAACACCTGGTCTGCATAGCTAAAGGGAAAAAGTAGGTTGGATAGTTACTGTGGGCTTATGATAAGAACCTTAGACTGTATAGCTTAGCTATGAATCTGCTCAGCTGTGGTGTTCAACTTTGCAAGTGGACCTACATTAGTTTTCTGGTGTAGCCTAAGTGCTACAATAAGAAATATTGCATTTTTTAATTGTAAAAGCTATATCTGAAGTTTTAAATATGTATATGTAGATTTTTTTTTCATTGCTCTTTACAACTTGCATTGCTACATACTTTCTTGTCTGGAGGAAGAATGGATAGAGCTAGAGTTTGCATTTGTGGAGGAAATGTGGTAGGCCTTGAAAGACCTCAAGGTTTATAATGGAAAAGAAAAGAAAAAAAAAACATTAGAACGTTTGGTATAGGGAATAGTTTGGAAATCAGGTATAATCCTCACTGTACTTACACTTTGTCCCCATTCCCCCATCTCCTTAATATTCCAGTTGAATTACAGATGGCTT